TTTTTTTTTCAGGAATGTCGAGGCTGCGTGGACTGAGGATCACGCTCTGGCCTGGCATCTGGAGCAAGAGTTCAGGCAGAACTCCACAGCTTGGGCTCTGGAGAAATGTTTAGCCTGGGACCAGCTTGAAAACCAGTTGCCCGACTTCCTGGGCGAGATCATCGACTGCCCCTGCACTCTGGCTCAAGCAAGAGCCGACACTGGAAGGTTTCATGTGAGTGTGAGGAGAACTAATAAAAAAAATGGCATCATCCCCTCGCAACATTATCAGAATTAAAGGAAGTTTACTTATGAAAATGGGTTTTAAGAACAGAAAAGTTATTAAGAATCTGTAAAGAACTATAACATATTTACAAATGAACGTGTCAGGAACACATTAACTGACACACATTATAAACATAGACAGATTATAACTTGAGCAAGGGCATAAAAGAAGTTTCTGATGAACTGCACAGACAGGTAATCAGATTATTGGTGTCCTAGATGGTTTGCAAGATAAACATTATTGATTATGGTTTTGCAGCCATGACTTTTGTTCTCCCTCACTGCTCATCTGTTCAAAGTCAAAAAGAAGAAGAGCTTATCTATTTATAGGTTTTATGACAAAAGTATCTTCAAGCTGCAGCACAGATCAAGTTTATTATATGAATATACAAGTAGGGTAAGTAGGGTTAAAGTCATAAAGTTGTTTTTATTGAAAGTTGACAGATGGTACAGTTGTGCAAATTGTGAGTTAAAAATGTCACGACTTGGTTACACCTGGTTTAAAAGCTAGTACATTTTTATTAGAACTCGGTGGCGTCACGGACAAGACAAAAATGTTTTTTTAGCAATCTATCTTTGATAACAGTTACTGTTTTAAATGTGCTATATCAATAAATTTGACTTGACTCTGTTTATCAAACAGGTTTAATATGTTGTGCAAGTTGGATTTTTAAGTTTCCACACAAGGCTGCATGTAACGAACTGTATCTGTCACACATTCCACAGACGGATTATGGCTGCGATATTGAGAAAGGGAGCGTGTGCACCTACCACCCTGGGTGTGTTCACTGTGTGAGGGCCATACAGGCCAGGTGAGTCCCTGCCTGACCAAAAATCATCCCCTTACTAGTAGAAGACAATGTCATGAGTTTAAAACAGTCATTAGAAATATTTCCAGATTTTGCTGTTCAGACACTTAAAATACAAAAAGGTACATGTTTTAGGTCTTCTGTGATTTTTATGTTGAGCCAAAATAAATAAATATATGGACCTCAGTGTAATTTTCCTATTCTGCAGAGCATAAAACAGTGCAGTGCAAGTACTGAAAAAAACTGACCAATTCTAAAAATAGTCCATGAAAAATATATATTTTTAATAATTTATTGTTGCTGCAGCATGAGGATGTGCTCCCCTGCCTATGACCTCTGACCCTTGAGTTGTCTACCAGACTTACCATGAACTGTTTTCTTTAAAGTTGCTCTAAACTTGAATAATGTCTGATGCAATGGTTCCCAACCCTGGTCCTCGAGGAACACTACCCTGCATGGTTTAGATGTTTTCCCACTCCAACACACCTGATTCAGTGATGTAATTACTTTCTCAAGTCTGCAGAAGCCTGTTAATCACCCATTCATTCAAATCAGGCGTGCCAAAGCAGGGAAACAACTAAAACGTGCAGGATGGTGTTCCTCAAGGACCATGGTTGGGAACCACTGGTTTGATGTTTTCACATATTCACTATCCTTGGATTCAGAGTCAGCTACAGTTTCTTTTTTTTTGCTTTTAAGAACGATTAAACAAATCATTAATGAAGTTATTTTATTTGATTATGACAGGTGTGAACATGAATGATGCTGATAATTGTTTGCAATCCTTATAATGAAATCATGTGAAATATTATAATGTGTTTTTAACAAACTTCCCTGTTCTGTTTATCAGAAAATAGCTTTTCCTTCAGAAACACGTGTGTGCAAGTGTTTGTGAGCCAGAATCTGTTCACATCAGAGGGGCGTCATAACATCTGAGAGATCCCCAAAACTCTTCTGAGAGCTGAGAGCTCACACAAAGTGTCTTTGTGTGACACTTTCAGTTTGTCTTTTTCTGCATCCTGATGTCCGTCTGATGTTTGTCTTGGTTTATTACTGAGCAAAGAAACAACAAGTTTGCTCATTAACAATTTTTGTTAGAAGCAAACCGAAGATGACACTTTTTTTTTTCACTGTGATACTGATGTTTTCGGTTAAAGTGAAAGCTAGCTGAGGGTTGCCGATTGTCGCACACCTTTATCAGCTCAGACGCCGACCCTTGAAGCAGTCACATTGACTTTCGGCTACTTTGGGCAGTGCCTGGCCAGTCCTCCCCTCATGGTGTATCCTGGTCTGATCAACCAGAAAAACCCTGGAAAGACGAGTGAACCCAGCCCTCTAACTGACCCGGTAAGGAGCCGAGACCTGGTGACATGACGCAACTTTGGGTCTGGTTACACCATTTTAGTTGATGCAGCTTAATATATTATTTCCTGGCTTGCAGTAATAACAAATGACTTGATCTGGTCTTATTAAATAACATCTTTCAACCAAATTCCAAAGCAAACTGTTAAATAGTTAAACTTTGTCTAAATTTGTGCGCATAAAAAAGCCAAAATAATTCCTGCTAAAATAAATAATTTTGCCTTAGATATAAAACACATTTAGGGCAGCACGGTGGCGCAACTGGTAGAGCTGCTGCCTCTCAGCGAGCAGGTGTCCGGTTCAAATCCCGGTCCGGGGGCCTTTCTAGGTGGAGTTTGCATGTTCTCTACGTGCATGTGTGGGTTTTCTCTGGGTACTCCGGTTTCCTCCCACAGACCAAAAATCATGCATGTTAGGCTGATTGGTAACTCTAAATGGTCCCTAGGTGTGAGAGAGAATGGTTGTTTGTCTTGTTTGTCTCTATGTGTCCCTGTGATGGACTTGCGACCTGTCCAGGGTGTACCCCGCCCCTCGCACAGTGATTGCTGGACATGGGCACCGGCGACCCCCCTGACCCAAAATGGAAGAAGCGGGTAAAAGATAATAGAGGGATGGATAAAATTAATTTAATCCCTAACTGATTAATTATTGTTTAGAATGGTTTTGCTACTTCACCAACAAGTTATTCTCCAAATTATTGTTCTTTGTGTTGTCGATTAAAAAAAAAAAATCTTGATTTGTAATAATATTTAAAAGGCAAATACAGTTTCCTCCTCATTCGTTATAATATTGTGATATTATTGTGTTTCTCATCCCAATCATGAAGGATACAAGTGAAAAAGTTTGGATGTTGTATTAAAAAACATTAACCACTATGCATCACACCTTGACACTACCAGATTTTACAAGTCTATATGCAGATTTAGCATTAAAAAGACATCGCTTCCAATTATGGCTTTTCCAGTTGAAAACGTTCCTATTATTTCCTTATTCTTCAGTAAACAGAGTTCAAAATCAGAAGCCTCTAAAATTACAGTTCCTGCAGGTATAGTGAAACATACTATTAAGTGTTTTTATTTGTCTCCAGTCCTAAATACGCAGCAGGACAACAGTGTTGTTATGACAGCACCGGTGCTCAGGTCCTGACTGCAGACTCGATTGGGGGAAGCACTCCAGACCGAGCTCATGACTGGGGGTCGCCTCCCTACAAGAAACCCCCTCGAATCCCCGGACAATCGCACTGGGTTTATGACGTCCTCAGTTTTTATTACTGCTGCCTCTGGTCTGATAATTGTCACTACTACTTTAAACACCGGCCCTCCAGTGACTGCAGGCAGTACCAGTCACCCAGCTCAGGTACTGCTGGTAATCCATGCCGAAGCAGCACGAGATTATTATTTTGCATAAATTCACCAGTGCATGTTTAATTTCAGCCGTGGTGTTCGGTGATCCACACTTCGTAACGTTTGATGGAGTCAGCTACTCGTTCAACGGAAAAGGGGAATACACTTTGGTCGTGTCAGAGCAGAAACAACTGGTGATCCAAGGCAGAACAGAGCCTGTGAACGGTGACAGAAAAACACAGCATTTGATCAAAATCTGGGTTTTATTCTAAACATAAATGATGTGTTTTTAGCACTTTCAGGAACTGTGATAAACGCTACAAAGTTGACATCCGTAGCCATGAGAGAAGCCTCTTCTGACATTGTAGAGGTGCGTTTGAGTCATGCAAACAATGGACTGGAAGTGCTGCAAAACCAGCAAACCCTCTCCTTTGCTGAGCAGAGCTGGATGGACCTACACGGTGAGCTTCCTCTTGTTTTCTATTTGTCAAAAAAAATATGTATATAACTTTATTTTGCTGCTTTTCTTTAAAACAAATCTCCTATAGGTGTGTTTGTGTTCTCTCCGACTTCCACCAACGTGACCGTGATGTTCCCATCAGGAGCCGGGGTGGAAGTGCGGCTGAGAGGCGTAACCGTGACGACCACCGTCCTCCTGCCAGAGGAGTTTAAAGGCTCCACTCTTGGACTGCTGGGAAAGATGAACAGCGACGCCACAGATGACCTGGTCTTCAGCACCGGCCAGTCTGTGCAGAACCACACCGACCCAGTGGAGCTGTTTAACTTCGGGGCGAGCTGTAAGAAATCTCTGCACATAAAGCGCTACAGAAAGTGCATGAAAGTTCTCTAGGCCTGCAAGGAATTTAGCAACATAAGCAACAATTAGGAAATCACAAAATTCTCTGGTCTTATGAATTTTTACAAGCAAAAAACACGTTTTAGATCATATTAAAACAAATCCTGAGATGTTAAATTGCAACACAATTATTGTTTTGTCTTACAGGGGCTGTGTTGAACACGTCTGCCTTGTTCACTTATGATTCAGAATATCTTCTAAACACATTTTACTATGAACTCAGACACGACGACAGTTTTGTTCCGGTGTTTTCTGTCCCTGAGGATCCAGATGATCCGCTGACTGATCAAGCAGCAGAGATATGCTCTGGAGAGGGCTCTCAGTTCTGTAGGTATGACATGGAACCACAAGCAGGTCTGGCTCAAAACAGATGGTGCCATTACTATTTTTTAGACAAGAAGGCCAGTTTTTCTGTCATTGATTAGTAAAATATTGGCATATTGATGTTAGAAGGATCACTTTTTTAACGATGTTTAATAGGCGGTGAAACTAAGCAGAAAAACCTGAGCATTAACTGTTTTAAACTACGGCATTGAGTAAAATGTACACACTTAAGAAAACATTTCTCAAAAAGAGAGGTGAAATGGTTTTTCTTAAAACTGCATTTTATATCTGAATTATTTAAAAATGTGTTTTCTGTGTTTTAGAAATTTCTTATATGTTATGACTTCTTTTTTTTTTTTTTTTTTTGGGTGACCGTTAAATTTTGTGTTTTTGTTATTCATTCAACCTTTGTACAGGTTAGTCTCACTGACTTACACAAACATCATCCAACATCTGTAAGGTGCTTGCAGGAGCGTTCATGTAAATAACGTCACCATAGTCAGTGGACAGAAGAAAAGTAGCAGTTACGAGGTGTTTCCTAGTATTCAGAATTAGACGGGATCTATTTCTGAAAAAGAAACCCAGTTTTACTTTCAGCCTTTTTTTTTACCAAGTTTTCAACGTGAGGCTTTAAAGAGAAATGTGCATCGACCAAGATTTCCAAATATTAGTAAGAATCGACGGACTCAGTGGGAACATCATTCATAGATAAGATAGAAGGAAGGACTGCTGGATCCGACTTCCTGTTTGAAAACAACATCCTTTGATTTGATCAACATTTAGCACCAGTTTGAGATGGAACAAGTCTGACTTGACTGGATGATATTGAAAGCAGACTGTAAAAGCTGGAAAACCTTAGCAACTGTTTTAGCTCGACAGTAAACAACTGTATCATCAGCATAGAAATGTAAGGATGCATCTGGAATGATCTGACCTACATTACTTATGTAGATTGTGAAGAGTGTGGGTCCTAAGACTGAGCCTTGTGGTACACCACTGCTATAAAATGACGATGGAAGTAAAACTCATTTGCAGAAGTTGGAACAAGAGGATCAAAACACAAGTTAACTTTCTGAAACAAAAGGTGCTGAAGTTGCAGGAAAACCAAGGAACCAAGCTGAAAATTCACTTGATGTGACTCAGTGAGGGAACTGACAACAAAAACTGGACATGTAAAAATGTACAAACCTCAAGCATGCAAATAAAACGTGGAGACTAGGTGTGATGGTTGGTAAATTCAGTCAGGTGTGTTGAGAATCAGAAAAAACTAAAAACACGAGAACTAAATCGTACAAACAACTTTTTTTTAAAGTTCTGTTCTGTTTTGTTTAAAGTAGCTGTGATTTTCACATCAAACACATTGTGACATACAATGTAAGTCATGATATTAGATTTTCAGAAAAGTTTGGACCATCTGAGCATTTTCATGGTCTTTTCTTTGTCCTGCAGGTATGATGTCCTGGTTGGCAGAAGTCCAGCGATGGGAAATGCAACTAGAGTTTCATTTCAGAGCCACGTTTCTCTGGTGAACGATCTGAAAACAGGTAAAAACGTCTGAACGAACCTTTAAAAACTACATCAAGTTCAGCTTAACCTCAATGTTGGTTATCACTATATGCAGTTTTATCTTGTGGATGGATTCCACCACCAAGTAATGGGAAAAAGCATGGGACCACCTACCTGCAAGGAGCTAAGGTGCAGTTTTCCTGCGACGAGGGCTACACGCTCAGAGGATCAGCAGAGCGTTTCTGTCAGAAGAACGGCCGGTGGTCTGGAGAAGATACAAGCTGCGTGGTTTCCAGTACGAAAACTCACGAAAATCAATATTAAAACTTTGATTCCCACAAATCAACAAATCAGTGGCAACAGTTGTGTCTGTTTTTGATCTCGTGTGTGTGAATGTGTGTATATGATTGATCAAATCAGCTGTGAAGCATGAAAGTGCACAGAAGTTCTCATAGAAGTGCAAATAAAAAGGTACCAGCTGGGATGAGAGTCTCACTTTACAAATTAATAATGAAAAACTCTCCAGGCATTACTTAAAAATACAAAACGACAACCTTTCAAAATTTCCTAGAATCAAAAATTTCACTAAAGTCAAATAAATACAACAAACAACAAACGAGACGTTGCACTTTTGAGCATCACTCTCATGCGATCTATAAATCTGCGCTTTCAGATCATTTGTATTTCTGAAAAAGCATCATATACTTTGACAAGCTTCTGCACAGAAATAAAGGGAGGCTACTGAATGCAGAAAAGTGAAGAAACAAGAATGCACAAACACAAATAAACCCTGAAAAGTTTCAGACATAAGCTCTGATTTAAAAAAAATATTCCCAGAAATATTCATAAAGATTTTCAACCTTATCTTACATTTATGACACCTTATCATTGTTGCATAATAGATTAAAAAAAGGTACCACTTTACAATAAGGCTCCTCTTATAGTAAATAGTTTATAGATAAGTTATAAATTCCTCTATAAACTCTTTATAAATCATTAATAATTTCTTATTATGCATTCATTAAGGGTGACAGAGACAAAACTGACCCGTTTCTTGCCAAATCTGTTCACCTATATATTTCATCTTTGTTATATTAAACATTTCAGACTAAGTTACTACCTTGTAAGCACTATAAGCATTTGTAATCTTATTTCTTTATTATATAATGTACGTTACCACTGCATTGTAAGTATCTACAACTAATATTATATCCTAATAAAAATAGGTTTACAAATGCTTATTGTGCTTACAAGGTAGTAACTTAGTCTGAAATGTTTAATATAACAACTCTAGAATAAATATATAGTGAACAGATTTGGCAAGAAACTGGTCAGTTTTGTCTCTGTCACCCTTAATTAATGCATAATAAACAGTTATTAATGATTTATAAAGTGTTTATAGAGGAATTAGTAACATATCTATGAACTATTTATTAGCCATCTATAAGGGGAGCCTTATTGTAAAGTGGTACCTAAAAAACATATTTTTGTGATAACAATTATAACAAACAGTCAAATAATACACGTTAATAAGACTCACGTGAAATCTACACTTCATGCAGGACTGAGCTGAACAAAATCATCAGGACTTTTCCGCAAATCTCTTTCTGCTTTATTTGCTGTAAACATATTATCTTTATCATAACCTGTTTACTTCATACATAAACAAGTGTGTCAGCATAAGGGATCATTAGGAATTTGCTTTGTCTGAAGCAGAATACTGATAAATTAAGAATTTTAATAAGAATTTTCCAAATAATGTTTGACTGTGGCTGGTTAAAGCCTGGCTCTTTCAGTTTTTATGCAACATACTACACAACTGAGGTGAAACAGATTAAATAATCTGAATAAATTAACTGATTAGACTATTTGATGTGAATGCATGGCTATGGGGAGACTAATGTTGAAACAATTCTTGCATTTCAGGTAACATCACAGGAATCGTGGCTGGTTCAGTCATTGGAGCCGTGGCACTGATTGTAATTATAACAACAACAGTCCTGCACTACAGAAAACAGAAAAGGTAGAACTCTTTCATCTAGTGAAAGACCACAACCCTTCGATACATGTGGATATAATGTGGAGCAGTTTTTGCTCCTGTGGAGAAGCTCAAAACCTCAGCTCAGATTTTGATTTTGATTTTATGTTTTAGGAAAACTGCAGATTCAGAAGAAGAGGGGAGGATGTGACGGCTTTTAACTCGATTTCTGGATTTAACAGTTTACAATAAAGATGTTTTTTTTTGTCACACGGATAAAATAAATGGCTCAAATACAATAGATATTATCATTCTTGTCAGCTCCAGTGTATTTATACTCTAATTTTCAGATCCCACTTATTTCTTTGTAAATCATCAAAGTTGTTCAGTCCGTTTGATTTAGTTTCACTTTTAAAAACAAAACTACTTCTTGTTCCTTCACCATGACCAGCGCTTCCATGTTTATTCACATTCGGCTCCTTATTAATCACAAACAAAAACAAATGCTACTTCACAGCAGCAGCTAGCTGTAGCACCTCTGGTGCATTTTGTGAATCTACTTTGGATTTGGATCCATGTGGATTAACTTTTCCCCCTCCAAACTAAAAACCATGCAAAAAGCTTTGTACGACAGGTAAGATATTGTTTGTTTATAACCTCTCCATTGAACCTTTTAAAAAAAAATCTAATCTCTGTCTTTATCAATTAAAGTTGTATTAAATGGATCTAATTATTTTTTTTTTTTGTACAATCAAGTTAAATACACTGAGGGAAAACATACTTAAAGAAAAACATTAAAGCTTAATTAAAAATACAACGATTGAAGGATGTAAGATGATAATTTTATTTCATATTATAAAAAAACATACACATAAGATGCTATTTATTGTTTAAGTACAAGCCACATTTAAAATCATCCACAGTATGTAGAACTTTGTCATCTCTTAAAGTTTCACAGTATATAATTAGTTTTTTTTATATATATATACTGTATATTTCAATGGTTTATCATTTATTTTTGACTAAACTTTGAGCACAGCTGAGAAGGCTTCAGATATTTCCTCGTTAATAAATACCACGCTGATTTATCCCTCGGATGCTCGGTTCATTATTTGCACAGCTTGTCATCCACACAGATGCAGCTGTGAAATTCCTCACCAGCACCTGAACGCACCAGTAGCTCCATCCATCACTTTCCTCTGGCTGTAAACACGTCTTCAGCTTTGCCATTTGCTTGTTTGTCTTCACTGTAAGACTTTTTTTGTTTGCTGTGGGACTTTAAATGTAAATGCTGTTCCCTCAAAACAACACACGGCTGTAACTTCTGCAGACAAAGACCTCCAGTATGTGAGAAGACTGCAGAGGCCTGGCTGCCACTTCCAGAGTCACTCACCAAAATCCTGCCAGAGGACAGATATAAATACAAATAATTAGTTTTGTCCTCAGCTTGTCCCGGGGCAACAGAGGAATAATGCCCCGGCTCGTTGTAAATCAGGCCGCTCTCATCTCTTACATCACTCTTTCTGCTCTGTGAGTGTGAAAATGATTCAGCTGCGTATATAAAGTGTGTGACCAGACAGTCGGACCTCCTCCTCATGTTGTCACATAAACACAGCTGCTCCGTTGTTCAGCGCTCAGTCTTGTCAGGGTGGAGCTGCAGGCTTTCTGCTTCAAACACCTCCTTCCTCCAGTCTGAGCTCATCCGTTTTTAGAGAATGGGTGAAGAAAACAAAATGCTGTCCCGTCCCATCTTCCGTCGAGATGTGAGCTGGGAGCCCTTCCCCAACTGGACTCAGCCGAGTCGCATCTTTGCACAAGATTTTGGACTCCCTCCTTTCTTGGAGCCCAGTGATCTGGACTGGCTGGACTGGGCGAAGAAGAGGCTGGCTTCGTTCTCCTGGCCCGGGTTCACCAAGTCCCCGCTTCTGCCTCCGTTCATCGGTCAGAACACGGATCCAAAAGATGTGAGACAACTGCCAAGAGGGGTGTCAGAGGTCCAAACTGGGCAAAACAGCTGGAAGGTTAACCTGGATGTTAATCAGTTTTCACCAGAGGAGATCACAATCACAACCAAGGAGGGTTATCTGCAGATCTCAGGTAGATCCTAAAAGACAGAAAACGTTTGAAGAAGCTGAGTTTTCCATGCTGATGTTTTTGTTTTCTCTGACTCTTGTTAAGGAACACATAAGGAGAGGCAGGACGAGCATGGGCTGGTTTCACGATGCTTCACTCGTAAATACAAGTAAGTTATTTGAGAAATACTAGAGGTAGGAGATCAACACAGAAGCTTTGTAGGTTTTAGCAGCAGATGCTTGAGTTAAAATGTCTTAAAACATCTGGAGGAGTTGCTTGTTGACAAACTCCTCATTTATAAAGGTTGCCACAGGGGGTGGACCTGCAGCACATCAGCTCATCCCTGTCGGGCGGAGTCCTGTCTGTCGAGGCCCCGGTTCCTGGGATGTCCATCAGCAACCCGAGCGATGAGATAGTTGTACCGGTCCAGGTCAAACAGATGCAGGAGGACGAGAACTGAGAGCAGAAACTTCAGCAGTCGAAGCTGAGTGCAGCGACAGTTTGAGGACTGGCAAAAGAAAAAGAAACATTAGATTAATGCATCTTTAATGATGAGGATTAACTAAGTTTGATTAACTGGAATAAAATCTTCACTCTTGTAAATCATCAGCATCATCAGCATTTAAAATTTATTAAACTATCCATTGTCTTGTATATTCTATTGGATGCAGATAAACAAACATCTGTAAAGGTTATTTTTGTGATTTTTTGTTTGTTTAAACGGTGCACTCTGATGTGCACCATTAATGACTAAGAATCATCTTAAATCCTGATATACTGTATTTTTTGGACTATAAGGCGCACTTAAAATTCTTTAATTTTCTCAAAAATCAACAGCGAGCCTTATAATCCGGTGCATCTTATGCATTAATTCTGGTTGTGCTTACTGACCTCAAACCGATTTTATGTGGTTATTGTGAATGAGCTGAATAAAGTTTGACTTATCTGACTGTTTTATTTTGCTTAATGCACCGTATAATCCGGTGCACCTTATAGTCTGAAAAATATGGTATTTAAAAGCTTCTTGCATGTATATTTACAAATAAACAATACTTTAAATAACTGCCTTTTTTAAAGTCTATATTTCCCTGCGGATTAATCAAAACAGTATTGATCATGCATCCCACTGATTTTGTTGGCAAGCTGTAACTACATGTTAATCCAAAGTGCATCTATATCTGTTTAGTCCAATTTTCAAAAGAAGCTTTCAGATGTTTAGATTAAATTTAAATGCGCCAAAGCTACATAGAGACAAAATATCTGAACACTTCAAGATATATTTTAATTATTATTCCCCAGCAGCTTTGAGAATACAGGTCGTCAAAGTTCAAATAAAAGGAACAAAATCAGAAAACTCTCAATATGGCCCCATCTTTCAACAGATCAACACTGACATCTAGCGGTAAAAAAGAATATTACATCACAAAAAAAGAAAAAATTGCAAATAGTTTTGAACGAGTTCCCAACATAATTAAAAAAAAACATTGACAAGAGCTGACAAGTGAAATATAATGGCAAACAAGCTTCCAGTAGAATAATTAATACTTTGTGAGTCCTCAAAAGACAAAACAAATTAAAAGACCATTTCCTGTTTGGAAAGAATTATGAGGAAGCACTTGTAAAATCGTTATATGCAACTATCTACATGTATTGTACAATATACCGTGATATCATCCTATACCTAAATATCCACCCAGTGCCCATATTTGATTTTATGAGGGTTTAATTGGAGAAAATTAAAACCAATTTAAAGAAGAGAACACGAGAATATTCTAGGAAATAATTGGGTTAAAAGTTAAATCTTGTTTTGTCAGAAACTTTATGATCAAGTCCAAGTTTTAGTTCTTCTTATCCTTTAAAATAACTACAATTTTGTTTATGACAAAACAACAGTCCACTTTCAGTGACAAATGCAACAACAAGCTCCCACGTTCAAATAATCTGGTTTAAACTACAAGAAGGATGAAGGATGATGTGGTTCTGCTTCAGGCCGGGACCTTCAGCGTGCACTGGGATGGTTCGCAGCCGAGTGTGAAGAGACTGGAATGAGAGTTAGTTCCTCAAAGTCTGAGGTCATTATTCTCAACCAGAAATGGGTGGAATGCCCTCACAGGGTCGAGGGAGAGTGTTTGCCTCAGGTTCAAGTATCTGGGCGGCTTGTTCACGAGTGATGGTAGGATGGAGCGGGAGATGGATCGAAGGACTGGGACCTTGTCCTCAGTAATGAGGGTGTTGCTTTGGGCAGTCATGGTGAAGAGGGAGCTGAGTCAAAACGCAAAGCTCTCGATTTACTGGTCTGTCTAAGTTCCATGAGGTTTTGGATCATGACTGAAAGAACGAGATCCCAAGTGGCTGCTTCCTTCGCAGGGTGGCTGGACTCAGCCGGGGTGAGGAGGAGCTCCATCATCTGGAGGGAGTTCAGAGTAGCTGCTCCTCTGTATAGAAAGGAGTCAGTTGATGTGGTTCAGACATCTGATTAGGATGAGGATAGAGGTTTTATAGGCACATCCTATGGTAGGAGACCTCAGGAAGACCCAGAAGTCACTGAAGGGATTGTATATCTTCTCTGGCCTGGGAACACCTCAGGGTCCCTGCAGGACGAGCTGGAACGTGTCACTGGGGAGATGGAAGTCTGGGTTTCTCTCCTGGACCCGTCGTCTTCATGACCCAACTACAGATAAGTGGTAGAAGATGGATGGATAAGGACATGAAGAATATAAAGCGTCAAAATCTGTAGTAACTTTTCCAAACTTGAAAAATACAAACCTCAGAAAACCAACTTTTGTTATTTCATTCACTCATTCATTTTGTTTGTCCTTCTAGGCCACACATTCCTAATTTAAAAAAAAAAAAAAAAAAAAAGAAGAAGCAAATAATAAAATAACACAACAGAAGCCTCAAATTAAGCTTTGATCAGCAACATTACAACACTGCATGGATTTCGACAGGCAGAAGTGGCTCTGTGCATGACCTCACCGAGTCAGGTCCTTCTCATCACTGACGTCCACATCCACAAGCTTCCTTCCACTGTTGTCTCGTCGTCCAAACAGGGAAACACAGGAGGTCAACCGGGCAGAGTCACTCAATGGTTTAAGGTCAAAAATAGATTTTCAAGCTGCAACAGAACAAATACAAACACTATCATTATGTAGCCTATAAATTATGTAAAATATTCCTGTCTGGACAGAATAAAGTGAATAAATTCAAAGCTTTCAGCAAACATTTTGGGGAAATGTGAAAAAGGGGCATTAAAAAAGTTATGTTCAATGTCTGGCTGGGTTCAATGGGTGTCTCGTGTCGTGGCTTGGGACTATCTTTGGTGCTTCTTGGCTGCAGATATATATTTTTAATGAATTACAGGTGGTTTTTATGATAAACGACTCAATGGATTGAAATGTTTCTTCTAGTGGTCGTAGAAAAATGCAAGAAAAATAACATCAAAGTTTCACGTTTTGTTCTTGACTCTTGGTTTCCACACTGCGCAAAAAGATTTATCTGTGCAGCTTTAAAGCTAAAGCTCAGATTTTTTTTGAAGAAGGGTTCTGAACAATTAATATCTTACCTGTTGTAGATGGCTCTTTGAATAATCTCAGCTTGGAGAACAAGCGTTTAATTAATAAACTTATGGCTGTACATATGGAGTTAAGACTAAAGTGGCTTGCTGACTTAAAACAACTCTCGTCTTAAGATTTTACAGCAGTTTTGGTAAATATTTTACAAACCTTTGATTTTCCATCATTTTCCTATTACCGCTTAACTTTTATGATATTCTTCCAGGAAGTGTCTCTGGCTGCATTTTAAGTATTACAGCTAGCTGCAAGTTGCATTTGCACCAAATGGCCATGTAATGCAAAAATGTACTGCAATGTAAAGGTTTCTACTGTTCTCGTTAATTAACCGTTAACACATCTTTGAGACAGCAGTTGTTAATGGTTAATAATCCATGGTGGTCGTTGACCTTCTCAAACAGGCCATCAGTTCCTCAATCAGATCAGATTTAAGCTCTATTTTCACAGAGGCTATGAAAAAGCTATCTACAACAGGTAAGATGTTGTTTATGCATACAAGTACATTTCTCCCATTGTTTTTTATTTTTTACAAAATTCTATATATCATCTCATGTAAGCACAGCTGTTCTCATTGTGTTTTACGCAGCAAAACATTATTAATACAACGTGTTAAGATTTATACAAACGAAAGAGGGCTGGAAATGGGATCCCTTGTGAAATTACCTCAGCCTTGTTGAGATGTGCTTGTGTTGTGGTGTCTCTTTAAAGGAAGGGGGAGTGTAGGGAAAGGGACAGAGGGAAGAGATGAATAGAAGGCACCAGAACCACCTACCATGACCAAGTGCGCTGTGAATGTAGGACAGAAATTCGAGTGGAGTACAAACGGATCATTAGGCGACAGATTCGGAGAGAAATCATGTTTGGATGTGCCTTATCTGAGCCAAGGGTTTTTCACTATGGTGCCACATTCGATCATCACAGGGACGCAGGGAAACTGTCTTTCCTCCCAAATGTTTCCTGCGTTTGGATACGGAAAAGGAGAGTGGCAGTAAAACACCTCTCTGGGGCATCTTTCTGATTATCAATGGTATAGCATCGCATAATTCAGCCTCATCGGAGCCGCTTGGTTCTTTCAAAGAAAAGGAGTGGGGGACGACAGAAAACTGACTTCATCCAGTGGCTGCCTCCTCGGGGGTGCCTACAATTGTTGGCCGATGCCCTTTCCTCTCCCAGGAAGGACTTGCACCCAGTAAAGGAGGGAAGCAGCTCGGGGAAGGATGCGCTTTACGCTGCTGTGCTGCATTCAGGGAGATTCGGCACAAACGGAGGGCCTGGGAAGCACCCAGCTCCACTATCTCCTCCTTTTCCTCCCCCCCTGCAGGACCATGCTTGCGTGAGGGATGAGGCCGTGCACAGGGACGCCAGGCCAGAGCTGCGGCCTACACCTGACAAGAGCCGGTCCCCCGACTGCAAGAAGACCCGCGGACACCTTATCACCATCAAATCAGCATCTTTGGTACGCGCGCTCGCCGTCTTCGGCCGTATTGCATGAAATCAAGCGTGCGCGCGTGCACGAGCGCGCGCGCGCCAGTGCGTGTGTGCGTGCTGCTGGCTGCGCGGGGATGAGGAGGGAGGAGGTGTCTGTGTTCTCAGCTGTACATCTGTAGTCATGGCAACCAGATCCTGTTAATGGATGTCATCTTTTTTCCCCTCCATCCTCAGCTTCTCTTATTTGCCTCTGCTTGCGCGCGTGTGTGTGTGACATGCGTTTTTATTATGCCAGATGTGCTTCATCACAAACATTTAGTTTTTATCAAAGGTTATAAAAGGTGACTTTCCACCTTTTTGTTGCTTGTTTTTTTTTTTGGTCCACGCTCTAAAAACTAATGGGTTCTTTTGATAACTCGATTGCTGAGTTGTAACATGTTGGATTAATTTGATCAAATGAGTCAAAAAGTTTGACCCCGTGGTTAATCAGAGATGAACCACGTCATTTTTCACAGTCTACCATTTTAGCCTAAAGTTGCTTGAATTTGACCTGACTGGACTTCTGCTTTAGAACATAGTAAACAAAAAACATGTTTAACCTAATTAGCGTGGTTAAAAACTTTAGTGTGCATGTAGATGATGAGTTTAGTTGCCTGAAATAACATTAATTGATGCATCAATGCCGTAATTATCAATTACACTTTTTAACTTAAATTGCTTTGTAGTCCTAAATTAGCAAATGAGTAATTTTCACCCATTTTGGGGGTAGAAAGCTTAACCTAATCTGTGTTAACTTAATCCAGTTCTGCTGAATTAAAACTTTAAGACTACTTAGGGTTGGCTCAGTCTAAATTAGGTTACAAATTAGTTTATTTTTAACCTAATATAGAGTGTGGTGTGAAAGTTGATTGATTAGAATCAAGAGCGTGCATTAAACAAAGTTTCTTGTTATTGGTGTGTTCTTGGGTGAATATGGCTGAGTTATGACTGAGATACTGCAATTTTTAAACATTTGACATTGTACAGTAGGGGTCTGCACGATAGTAGGGAAATGTGCATGTGCAATATTGAATATTGCAAAAGCATTATCAAATGCCTTACACAAAACTGTATAGCATTTCAGTTACGTTCTTTTAAATCAGCAGTGGGTGATTATGAATATGCAAATTTTTTTTATTGGCATCTAGTCTAGGTCTGTTTTTAGTTGCAATATTGACACTGCTCACTAATTTAAATTTTTTTTTATTTTTGCTTGCTCAGCTTCTTTCACGTTCTGCTTTCCTTTTCATTTTTTGTTGTCTAGGGCATCAGGTAGATCCAGGAGCATGAGCAGGACTTTGAGCTGCGGGAGCAGATGTCTGGGTATAAGCGCATGCGGCGACAGCACCAGAAGCAGCTGATCGCCCTGGAGAACAGGCTAAAGGCCGAGATGGATGAGCACAGGCTCAGGCTGCAGAAGGAATTAGAAACGCACGCAAACAACACTTACATCGAGCTGGAACGGCTGGCCAAACGGCACGTTGCTCAAACAGATAAAGAGGTACAGCTTCAGCAGCTGTAGTGATTTTAGTCACATTTTGATGTCAAAGGCGATAAACTGCACGTCTCTTCACAGATGAAGTCAGTTGCATCAGAAGAAAGAAGGATTCAGCAACAAATTGTTGCTCAGCAAAAGAAAGAGCTGACTTCGTTTTTAGAGACTCAGAAGAAGGAGTACAGGCTTTGCAAAGACAAGATCAAGGATGTGAGTATTTTCACCGGACACGTTGGTGAAGTTTTGCGTTAAACCTGTTGAGCACATCTTTACACCCCGCGTCGCTCCGTTCTGTTGCAGGAGATGGGTGAAGACCTTTGTTTCACCAAGGAGGAGAAGCAGGAGCGTCTGTCTCGGTACAAAGAAACGGTGCAGCGCTCCCAGGCTGAGGAGGAGGCTCACCTGCTGGCCCAGCAGAGGCTGGTCTACGACCGCAGCTGCCGGGCCCTCAAACGTCGGAGTCTTATCAGGCGGCACGAGTTTGAACAGGAACAGCTGAGGGAGGTAATCTGACTTTATACAGCAACAACTGAAACATCGAAGACTGTCGTATGGCTATAATCAGTGGTGGACAAAGTACTCAACTCTAGTACTTAAGTAAAATATTGATACTCGGGTTCAAATTTACTCAACTACAAGTAAAAGTTGCTCAGTCAAAATTTTACTCAAGTTAAAGTACTGAAGTACTTACTTTTGAAAATACTTAAGTGTTAAAAATATGTGCATTTAAAAATACACAAATATTCAAAAGTACTAGTAATTTTGTAGTTATGTTTGATTTTACAGAACTTTGTAACTCTCTGAAACCACTTGATAATGTAGAATGTAGAACCACTACACGGCAACAAGTGGCTTAATAAAATATGTAAATCACAAATATAAGATACTCAAGTAAATGTACTCTGTTACTGTCCACCCCTGGCTATAATCAAGAACAAGTTCTACAAAATGATTTTTAAAAGACACCTAATTGGTTGTAGGTAATCCTTCCACTTTCTTGGCTTCTCTTTATATAAGCTATATTTCTATTTATGAACAGGTCTGCTGAGGTTCAGAACTCCGAGGTCAATTTCACTCTTCATTTTTTTTTTCAGTCTGCTGTTTACTTACTTTTCAACCCAGATCAAGATTTTTACAGTCCATAGAGATCACAACCCACCAAAAGTAGCCCAAGGAAGGAAAACCAGTAAACCAGTGAATGGAGCTAAGTGTTTGTAATGGCCAAAGGCTGTTTGTTTAACTAGATTCTGTTGAAGCTTCACGTGTGCCAGGAGACTGTGGTCTCAGTTTTCAGTGACTAAAGCTGCATAAATCCACAGAGCTGTCATGGTGCTGATGCTGATTTCAGTTTACTACTAAAAGGGGCCAACAATGGCTTCAGCTACACCTGGGAAAGACATGGAACCAGGAAACACAACGGAATGAAGTCATGTCCTGTTGGAAAGCCATTGCTTTTGTCGTTCATGGTGATGCTTTTAACAAGTGCTACTCTTCCAAACATGGCTGCTAACCAACTACGCTCCTCTGAACTTGATCACCCTGATGGCAGGTGCTTCTTGCAGCGGGATGATGCTCCATGCCTTGATTCACAGCAGTGAGCTCGAGGAGCTGACTTGGCCTCCGAATTCTCCAGCGTCAGTCCATTTGAGCCTCTGTGTGAGGTTATGGAAAGAGAAGCCCGCTCCACGGAGGCCTAACTTTATAAAACCTTTTATAAAAGAATCCAACACCTTTTAAAACCTAAACAATCTGATTGGGACCAGATTCCACAACAACGCCTCAGAGTCCACGCCAAGATGGTTTAGGGCTGTTTTGAGGATTCACTCAATATTGTATATCAGTGGCCATATTGTTACAGATGATTGGAGTATTTGGTTTTGAAATGGACCCAGTTTAAAATGGATTAATGCAAAACAAAAAGCAAAACAAAAAACAAAAAAAAAACCAGCATGTTGATTCCTTTACTTTTGATCAATCAGCTGACTAAAATGAACGTTTTTAATATTCCAACATGAAACAAGTTCTCCAACGCATCAAGTTTACACAAACTTACTATTAAATATAACTTCGTAGAGTCTCACCTGAGCTGAAGCCCATAAACTTAAACATCAAATGATTATGATTTTATTTTATTAGCATGAAAACAACTCATATCAGCATTTCAAATGTAAATACATCAGTCAGTGACAGGAGCGAGTGCACTTATAGCGTGCAACAAAAACTGATAGGCCTGTTGAAAGGGAAGTGGAGGACAATCACACACCAAGACAAGAAATTAGGTTTTGAAACAATATTGTAACAGCTGTTTTTGAACTTTCTTCTTTTGAGTCATTCATTCCTTTTTTTTAGGTTAAAGTCAAGGATCAAGGTCAAACTTATTTTTAAAACACATTTACAGACAACTTTAGCTGTGCCAAAGCGCTGTTCATACACTGCAATCACAATAATATGATTAGACTATAACATGTTCTGATTGGTTTTTGGCACTAAAATTATTTAGTTAAATTTAGTAATTAAGACCACATGGATATCAATAATAATAATAATAAAAAAGCTTTAACAGGATTGTGATGCCAGTTGCAAGATGCAGCTGTTCAGTTTGCAGTGAAACAATGCATGCAAAAAGCACACAAACATTGCAAAACAGCATCATTTCATGGATCTTCTTGTCCCAGGAGCTGAACAAGAAGAGGACGCAGAAGGAGATGGAGCATGCCCTGATGATCCGACAGGACGAGTCCACCCAGGACCTGGAGCGCCGGCAGCTGCAGATGCTGCAGAAGCTGCGAGTAGAACTCATGCGGCTGCAGCACCAGACGGAGCTGGAAAACCAAGAGGAGTACAACAGCCGACGGCAAACAGAACTACACAGAAAACACACTCTGGAGCAGCGGCAGCAGCCCAGAAACCTCAAGGTGGGCCTGGTCTTTGATTCTGCATCCTGCTGGATGGGGTTGTCCAGGTGGTTTAGTGAGATGTTAACAAAAATCGCATTTCATTTTATAACTTTAAACCAGAAAACATGATGTTTCATGCTGATAAACATGATATTGTCAATGTTTTCTGACTTCTAGATTTTTTACATAAAATGTAGTAGACATCTTGGCATTCATTTACATTTGTGGTGTCCCAATACAAATCTTCCCCCCCCCCCCCCAGAGATGCTGATCTTGTTGCCATGAGAACCGCTTCTTCCCAAACATGTGCCAGCTTCACAAATGTAAATGATTTCTTCTCCAATTATGTAACAACGTTGGGGTGAGAGGGTCACTTAGGTCATTGAAACATTTCAAGACTTTGGCAAACAAAACTCAGTTTTTATTCTAAACAAATAAACAGTTGAATTTAGGTTTTTAACCCTTTGAATACATTTCTGCTGACATTTTTTGGCATTTCTATCAAACTTCATCTTTATTTTTCTACTGAGCTTAGACGTAGCTTGAACCAAAAGCAAATTTGAACCAACGTTTAATGGATTACCGTATTTTTCGGACTATGAAGCGCACTTAAAATCCTTTAATTTGCTAAAAAAAATCGACAGTGCACCTCATAATCCAGTGTACCTTATGTATTAATTCTGGTTGTGCTTACTGACCTCAAACTGATTTGAGCTGAATAAAGTTTGACTTCTGACTGTTTTGTTTCGGTTATTGCGCCTTATAATCTGGATAATCCAGTGCACCTTATGTATGAAAACAGACCCATTCATTGATATTGCACCTTATAATCTGGTGCGCCTTGAAAAATACCGTAATGCATTGCTGTTTATCCCTTACAGATGCTGGAGATGCAGATCAAGAAACAGTTCCAGGACACGTGCAAGGTGCAGAACAAGCAGTACAAGGCTCTTAGGAACCATCAGCTGGAAGTGTCTCCCAAAGGGGACCACAAAACAATCCTCAAGAACCTGAAGGAGGAGCAGACACGCAAGCTGGCTATTCTGGCTGAGCAGTATGAACAGAGCATCAATGAAATGATGGCTTCACACGCGGTACGAAGAGTTTCAGCTCACTCAGTGTTGCATCGCCTGTTTGTAGTGATCTCATGCGTACAACAGTTTTAATATCCGTTGTTTAATAAACGAGGCTCAACATTAAATACCTAAAACATGAACAGCTGCATTGTCTTTTCCCCCCTAATGTCTTTCTCCAGATGCGATTGGAAGCAGAGCAGGAAAGTGAGTGCCAAGCTCTGAAGCAGCAGCTGAAGCAGGAGATGGAGCTCCTGGACGCCTACCAGAACAAAACCAAGTCACAAATGGAGGCCCAACATGAGCGGGAGCTGCAGAAACTTGAGCAGAAGGTTTCCATACGGAGAGCACACTTGGAACAGAAGGTATGTTTAAAAATCAAAGCGCTACTCAAATACTTCCATAAATGACCTTAAATGGCTTGGCACAAAAGGTCCAGGAAGGAATTTTATTAACTTTGTATTACAGCACATTTTTAGTAGCTCACCCTTAGACAGATTCTTATATTTCTGTTTAGATACAAATAAAAAAACAACAACTTGGAGTTACTTCTCTGAGGGTAGTCGTAGCCCCACCAGTGTCTACTGATAGACCTACTTTAGACTTACGTATGTAGATGAAGACGCGTAAATTTCGCCCTTCCAAACCAGCTGAAAAGCTCCTGCAAATGTCTTTTTTAGATTTTTATATCCCTTAGTTCCCATAAAATACAACAATTCTACAGCTTTTATTAAAAATCATACTAAAAACAAGGAACACCCACAGGAGAATGTGCACAAGGAGTTACTTGTGCTTTGTTCTGATGTCTGTTCGCTGTTTAAACCTACTAGGAGGTAGGAGGGACAGTCTGAACGCTACTTATGGGGATTATAACAACTAATAATGGCCGTTTAATAGACTGATAACATTCAAAGCTGCTGTTGATGTTTTTATGCAATGTAAATACAAATTGTCAATTCCTGATAACTGTTCATTTTTCTGAACCAACTGTTCATTTTTCTGAACCAACTCCAAAGACTGAACAAATTCAGAATTGTCTTGATGATAAAATGTGTGAAACAAACCACATTTAAAACATTTTTGCTGTTTATAAATCAGAATCAGCTGTGTTGGTTGAACACAGAAACACCATTAGTCCTGGAAGAGGGATACCACGAGAACGTAATCATTCTTTATTAATTATTAGTTATTTAGTCTGCAAAGTGTCTGGGAAAAAAAAAAAAAAAGAAACTCAAAAGTTTATTTGATTTGACAACTCAAAACTCAAGGATTTGTAAAATGTGGTATCCTTACAAGCAGAAGGATGAAGAAATGTAGTGTTTTTCTATATATTGGTTGGTTGGAAAGCAACTTTAAAGGTTTCATGATGTCAACAGACTAAAAGTTGTCAGGATAATTTTCTAAATTCACAGAGAGACATCCAGTTCTTACATGATGTGGGATGTAAAGGTCATGGATGTTTTTCACTTATCGTACTTGTCGCCGTACACACCGCTTTGCTGTATAAGTCACATCTATTATGCGTCACCGCTGATGCGTCGCGTTTGTTACGCGTCACTGCTGACAACCTGGAAATGTGGGCCGGTGTTGTGCTAAAAATCGATTGGCTGCCAAATGGCGGCTGCGGGAGCGTGCAAGAGGACTTTAACCAGAATTTAAAAAAATTAACACTTAAAAACAATTATTTGTTTGCTCGAAATTATAGCAAAGGTGTGTCTCAGTCAAACTTTTCCTTAATAAACGCACTTTGACAGTCAAATCAGCTGCACTTCAAAATCTGATTCAAAAAAGCAGGCACGCGGAGTGACAACTCTGTGCATTTCTTTGAAATTTAACAAAATTACTACCTAAAACCAACTATTTGTTTGCTTGAAATTATAGTAAAGGTGCGTCTCAGTTGAACTTTTCCTTAATAGAATGCACTTTAATGGTCAAATCAGCTGCATTTCGCCTGGGCGGCGCGGTGAAATGCAGCTGATTTGAGGTTTGCACCAGGAGTTCTGGAGCGAGACAAAACTGGCTTGGTATGGCAAGCCAAGTGTCTCATTAATAGCCATTTTTACTTATTAATGAGACACTTGGCTTGCCATTTTAGTCAAGGGCCCTCTAGTGGCTGAAAATGGTAATGTTCAATATTTTCCATGTCAGAATGAATGAAATCCTCATATCTCAGCCAAAAGTTGGGTTATAAATGTGGGGGAAAAACCCATAAATACATTGCTTCACTGTATAAGTCACAGGCATGCTAATTTATGCAAAAAACTGCAACTTATACAGCAAAAATTACAGTACTAATGTCAAATGTTATAGAACCATGTGTGTGAGTTAGAGTTGTTTTGTCTTAATGTGGAGCCTGCACATTTAATAAACTTCAAAGTCCCTAAGCTGGAAAGCAGAGTTGTCTCAGCCTCACCTTTTACGATAAATGTATAAATTGGCGCTCCTTTATGCTGTCGGCGGGCAGACCTTGTGATCCGGGTGACATATAATATCTTGTATGCCTGTTTCCAATTGTTGCTCCTCTTGCAAGAATTAAACCTGGGTTGTGAAGATCTTTTAGTTTCCTTGCGTAGCTTATTTATTTAATGAGCTCATGATAGGATAATTAACTTATCCAACATGACATTTTAGGACTTTAGGAATAAATTGCCTACCATCAGTAAATCCCGGGGCCATATATGGGCAGTCCTGATAACATATGACAGCGACATTTTCATTTTACTGATGAAAACAGAAGCTAAAAGTAGCCTTAATATGTGACTAAATAACAGCCATGATGTTTGCTGATTGCAGATTGAAGAGGAACTGGCTGCTCTCCAGAAGGAGCGGACTGAAAAGATCAAGCACTTGTTGGAGCGTCAGGACAGAGAAATGAGCACTTTTGACTCAGAAAGCAACAGCCTCGGTTTCGGAAGCCTCGGATCTCTGGACTTCCCCAAAGAAGACAACAGATGAAAGTGGATCTATCTTTTTACAGGACAACATATCTGTGCCCTTTTCGACTCCACTCCACCGCGGTGACAAAACCGGACAACTTCCTCTGCTACTTCTCTTCTCTCTTACATCTTCTAATTGAGGTGTTACTACGTGCAATGAGAGCTTCTGTTTGAAACTCGAAGAGGGAGAAACAGAAGAACCACTAAAGGCGTCAATAAAAAGGCAGTGTTTGAACTCTTTTTTCCTCCATGCCATTTCCTCTTTTTTGGTATGAAACAAATAAATCAGGAAATTTTAGTAAAAATGGGCACTTTGATATGTTTAAACAGAAACCCATCATGTTCATATGATACTCAAAGTGTGTGTTACATGGAGGGACATTGTGGAATGTGAACTGCGGACTCCCCCGTGGTGTTAAGCTGCTTTGTCTTATTTATTTTTTTTAACAATTGAAATTTTGTTGTATTTATTTTAATCTCTGAATGTGAAAATTACTGTACGGGGTATCACTGGGGTTTATTCTTTTGAGTTTTTTTGCGATCATACTTCCATGTTGTGCTTATGCATACAGTAGAACGTGGTCCCTCACTTTTTCTAGGCAACACATTCAATCTTTCTGTTCATTTGACATGTAGAAACAATTGGCATTAGCTTGACCAACCTGTTTATCCTCACAAGTCAAGATCCCACTTGGTGAAACTGCTTATTATTGCATGCACTTTAAGGACAAATTCAGGTTGTGAAGTGAAGCATGAATCTGTCAGAGATTTTAGCTGTTTGTATATAAGTGGTCACAGCTACTTTTTGTTCACTTTTATTTTAAGCGCCACATTTGATATGATTTTTTTTTTATTTTCCACAAATGCCTTTATTTATTTTGTGCCTGAAGCAGATTTAAGTTATTGTGTTTGTTATATCTATATTTTACTGATTTAGGCCAGCACCATTTTGTTTGTCCGGACTTGTGAATCATTTAATGTTCACTAATCTTGTAAAAGGAAAAATGGTGAGAATTGTGCTGTATAATTTTTGATATGAATATTTGTACATGAGAACATAGCTAGAATATACAGAGACACAGGTCTATTACTGATAACAGAGCCTAAAGAGAAAAGATTTCTGCTTCTTTTTTTTATAATATTGACAAATGGTCATACAGTAGTTCAATATATTGCTAAGTCAAACTACTAGACTTACAGATTGTATAAATGCTGGTGAATGGAACCACACACTTCTTACAATATCCGTGTGAGGATCTGTAAACGTCACACGGCGCAGGTACTGGGTCGCATTTGGAGTCATTTGTGTTCGGGGACAAGATTTTCCAGACATTTTTCACCGTGTTCATTACGATCGCTGACCAGGTTGCACAATTATTCCATTCACGGTGAATGGAAAAAAGGTAATTTTTTGGTGCTTAAGTTTGAGAAACCACCTTTAGCCTTGTAGTTTTTTGTCAGAGAGAACAGTTTGAGTTTCACAAAACGCGAGCATTTTGCAACCCTCCTTCTGAGTCAAAACTCTACTGAAGACCCATGACCTTTTTGGAGTGCCCCAGGCAGCGAATCACTCTAAAATAATTAGCTAAATGTGCGAAAAAAATAAACTATTTTTGATCATTTTTGAAGTATTTAAAGTGGAAGTCTTGATGCAACCCTGTACTGTTTAACAGACGTCTTTTTCTTATTTTTTCACGCCATAATGGGTCTAATTCCTCAAACATTACAAAGTAATTCCAAAAGATGAATCTAACAATCAGTTTCTGATGGCAATAGAATCTAAACGCTCTTATTTTACACGTTGGGAGCTAAATGAAGAGTTCTGAACTTCCATTTGGTTTCTCAGACTTCTCCACGTTCATGAACTTTCTGAAATTGGATGAAAACGTTTCTCACATGCAGTAAGGCCCTTTCCTCTGGTTTCATCTTACTGAAGAAGCTTTGTGGACCAATGGTTGCATTAAAAATGTGCTGATAGGGTGCTTGTTTACCCGAGAGCTTCAGAACAACAAACCTTAAGATTTGTGTAATTTTAGGTTACTAGAAAGATGTATTTAGTTAGAATATAAAGGGGACTTTCCTAAAGAATTTTATTCACCATTTCCTGTGCAGTTCAAAGACAAAATAAAAAAAAGGTTTTGTTGAAAAAAGAAAAGTTTCAACATCCTGCCTCTTGTGACAGTGCAATTCTTCGTATGTGCGGTTGAATTTCTTTGCAGTGCCCCTTTTGTGGCGTACTTCACTTTTTTTTCCCCTTTGGTGGGAAACAAACACTGTGACCTACATTGTGTGATTTGCTGTTTTCTATAATTCAGAACGCAGGCCAGAAATAAGACGTGAAAACCAGTTACCTGAAATGGGAATGAGAGGAAACTCGGGCTGCAGAGGGCCCTTTGTTTTCTTTTATATCAAAGAGAACGTGCTAAGTTTGACTTGCACGGCTTATTTTGGTGTTTTTGCACTCTATATTGCTGTCAGGAATCCCATTGTAGTTTCATTGAACTGGCAACATCTGCAGCAGCTGCTTGCCTCACCACAACCCCACTTTTATCCCGTATGGGGCACCTGGAAAGCCCCAAGACTGGCAGAGAGGTGTTTAGCCTTTACCTGAAGCGGCGCTGAATGCTGGTTTGTGGTGAATCGAGTTCCCCCCTCATCTTTTCTCAGGTAGTCAGTGGTTTGGCATCAATGCAGCATTTATTGTTTAGAAACTAAGATGCAAATTTCACCTAAAAGTCTGGGGGTCATGTCAGATTACAAGTCCTTTCACTTTCTGCAATACGTGAACCTGCAGCTTCCAGTCACAGCAAAGATGTCTGAACTCTAAATGTCCATATAATTAGACATCCATCCATCCATTATATTTACCCAACTCATCTAGTCTTACAGATATCAAGCTCAAGTCTGGTGTGGTAGTAGCTGAGAGTCATTCCCAGCATGAACTGATCAAGCAACATTCATTAACATAACCTTGTCTTTAACTATCGGAGTCAACTCTTTATTTGAAAACATCTCGTATCATGACACTTACAGAAAACAATCAATGGGCATATATTTACAACTGATTAAATTTTGGAGTCATCACAAATCAAGATGGCCACCACAGCTAGTTGATTTGACAAAACACAAAAGCTATAGCTCCGTCAAATTTACAGCTATTAGGCCAAAAAATGGTGTGGGAGTAGCTGAGTATGGGGTGCCGTTTGTAAAGTTACAGTCAAAAATTAACAGCAATATTTTGGTTTATTTAGCCTTTCATGAAATAATTTGTTTTTCCCAAAGTCACATTTTCACCATGTCATTCATACAATTATAAATGTCATAGTTCCAAACTAAATATTTAATTTACAAGTTAAATATTTATTTAACAAACTAAATACTTAACTTGCAAGTTAAATATTTAGTTAGCAAGCTAAATATTTAGTTCCACACTAAATATTTAGTTTCCAAGTTAAATGCTTATGTCCAAGATAAATGCTTAATTTACAAACTAAATATTTAACTTGCAAGTTAAATATTTAGTTACGGAACTAAAAAAAATAGATGTAAATTAAATGTTAAATTTCCAAGCTAATTATTTATTTTCAAAACTAAACATTTAATTTCCAAACTAAATATTTATTGTCCAAGCTAATTAATTAATTTCCAAACTAAACATTTAATTTCTAAGTTAAACGTTTAATTCCTAAACTAAATATTTAATTTGCTAACTAAGTATTTAGCTCGGACCTAAATATTTATTTCCCAAACTATACATTTAATTTCCAAAATATTTTTTTAATTTGCTAACTAAATATTTAACGTGCAAGTTAAATATTTAATTTGTTAGCTTGGTCATAAACATTTAGTTTGTAAACTAAATATTTAGTGTGGAACTAGTTTTACTAATATTTAGCTTGCTAACTAAATATTTAGCTTGCAAGTTAAGTATTTAGTTTGTAAACTAAATATTTAGCTTGTAAATTAAATATTTAGTTTTGAACTATGACATTTATAGATGTATGAATAACATGGTGAAAATGACTTTGAAAAAAAAATTTTTTTTTCTTATGAAAAGCTAAATAAACCAAAATATTACTTTTAATTTTTGAGTGTGTAACTTTACAAATGGCACCTCATAGATGAGCATCGTCCACAACAGAAACTTTAAGCACTTGATGCAGTGCAATATTTTACTTGATACAATGGCATGTCATTGGTGCCAACGCTGTCCGTCTGTTAGCAAAATATCTCTTGAACCACTTGATGGATTTTAGGGAAACTCTCAGAAGGTAATCACTGCATGTACATCAACAACTCTTTAACATTGGAAGTCGACCCAATTCAAGATGGCTGCCACAGCTCATTGATTTTAGCCAACACAAAGATGGTTGTAACTGTGAATTTTCAAGCTACCGAGATAGATTTTGTGTGGTAGTAGTTGGAAGTACTCCCCATGAGTGCAAACACATTTTGCAAGATCTTAGAATGTTACATTTGAGTTCATTAACAAAGTTTGACCAAAACATTGCAACTTTAGGTTGTAGAGATGCATTCCTTCAAAAAATGCTTGACCTTTGATTTTTTTATTTATTTATTTCTTAATCAAAAAAATTGGAGGAAGTAATTCTCCATTGTGTCACGATGAACTCACCTCCTGGTCTGAGCCCGGCCTCTCCGACGCTGCAGCTCATCTTCTGACACAAACATCACATGCATTGGCTACGCAGACCCACTTCTTTACGTAGTTGTAAAAGTTTCAGATTGTGAAATGCATTTCCTGTGAACTCACTGGCTTCCTGTGTAAATATTAACATGAAAATATTTAAATAATAAAAAAACCCAGATGAGGTCAAAAGGGTCGGTCAAACAAAATTCAGCTGAAATGTTCACCGACACTTAAAGAAGAAATAGCAGTCGAGGGAATTTTAATACAAACGCCCTTCCTCAAAAGACAACATCTGCTCGTGTCATATTATCGCCACATGAGTCATCTTTCACTTTAGTTTTTAATATTTTTCTAATACAGTCATCAAAGGATCAGAACTTGTCAGTAAATGACCACTAAAGCTTTTAAAGATGCACAAAAATGAGCCTCATTTTCTGTTGTCTGAGCTCAGAGGAATTCAGATGCTTCTAAAGGTTCATTAATATGAAATTAAAGGTGATGCATTTCTTGAAGGGATGCATATCACCCGCTGCTTTTCATGCAGAGTTTTAGATTAAGATAATTTTATTGTGAGACAGGATTAAGTCTCATAAATGACCTGATGAGAGTCCGTTAAAGTAACGTGTAGTGCTCACAGTATGTGCTAAGGATGATGCTCAGCTCCCACCACA